GTTGCTGTTTGATGGTGTGGTGAGAGTCTTCTTTAAAGGAGGAATTCACGATTAGAATGAAGGTCGAAGAAGGGAAACTGACCTAGTTGAGGGACCCACGGACCTCCTGAGGGTGCGAACTGACGCGCAATTCGCATGGAAAAATTTGACCTCGGCGACCTATCATGCCTCAAAGTTGGCGGGTCTGGCGATCTCCGCCCACCGACCATCTGATCACTCGCCGCAGTTCTATACGTGGCGAGTGATTAGATAGCAGAGAGAGCGTAGTGTTGAAGAGGGCACAGCGATGAGAGTCGCATCAATGCTCAAATCAACGGGCAAGGAAGGGGTCCCATTTCTCGGGTTCTGGGCCGTTTCTCATGGTTCTTCCTTCTTTCGTGTACCACTCACCATCCCTAGGTTAATTTGAAATGGGTTGCTTTTCCAGCGTGAATTCGTCCTTTAATCAAACGAAATCGTTCTAGGGCAAACTTCGGACTTACCATCAGACCCACCTAAGAAGCCCTTACCATGGCTAGAAGTGCTGGGCACGCAAGTGCAAAGTTAGCGCCACCTTTCTACATCGAAACCCGTCACCAGGACCCTAGGCGCCATGAACTTCTAACAGACTCCACCAAACATAACATGGTCCGCCCACCGATCGATCTTGTCTGCGTCGCTGCGTTGATCTGCTATGCTCTCTCTTCTCGGACTTCTCTACCACTCTCCGCGCTCACATTATCTCTCATCTCCCTGCCTGTCTTTTGAACTTCTCCACAGCATAGAGCAAAATGCTCGTATTTCCTGTGTATTTCAGGATTTTCTTTCCTTTTTCTCCACTGGCGGTCCTCTCATCCCTACTTTCACATTTGAGTGGAATCAACCCATCAATGTAATCCTGATTCATGCCTTTAAATCTGTACTCAATGGTCGCATCCTTCCCGTTCCGAAAATGTCGTTCCATTCTCGGGTTGATTGCACTACTTTTCAACTGATTTTCGTCAGAAAATTTTTTATTCTCTTGTTCCAAGGAAGTATTGTTCCCCAGTAAGTCTGTATTGTTTTTTCTTAGATTCTATACGTGCGCACCTCCAACTCTGGATGTTTTCCAAATGATTACGTTTTCTCATTGGAAAAGGTTGCATTTCAGATTTATAGATGCACATGGATTCAGATTCTCCCGTAGCGATCATATTAAACTAATTAAGCTGATGTATCTAGTGATGGTTAAAAAAGATCAGTGGCACGACGTTGTGCATTACGCAGCAAGGGCTCTAGAAAAGCTTATTAAGTGAGTCTTGCAACTTAGCGTTCCGCACGGAAAGAAACGTGAAAAGTGTTAATGTAATCGTTGACATTACGCATCGATGATCCGCTAACGGTGGCGACAGTTTAGCACCTCGAAACGTCTGACTAAGGCGCTAGGTGTTTTGATTCAGTGGTAGTTTACAAGGAGTTTAATAAATCATTCATTACAAAGCAACTATGACTAACACACAATGGAGAAGAGAAAGAGAGGATAGAAATTGTTATCGTTGTTCGTTGTTACATCTCGTATTGTTGGCGTATTAGGTTATGTGTTCGAGTGTAGGTTGTCTTGACGAGGTGGCGAGTCCGACCGGCATAGGTTCGTCGTAGCGTAGTTGTAGAAGTTGAGTTAGGGTAGTTGGTGTGCGACCGTAGTCGCTTGACGAGAGGGGCGGAGCCCCAGAAGGAAGAGAGAAGAGTTGAAAGAGGCTAAACTAAAGGTGACACCGAAGTGGAAGACTGCCTCTGCCGCCCGGAGCGCGCTCTTTATACCTCCCAGAAGAGGGCGGTATATATATATACCTGTGCTAGTAGGCGGTCCGGTGGGCATGGCAATTTGGAATTGGTTGTAGTTTGTACGCGGTAAATTCAAAATGTATATGCCGTGTTTCGGCACTTGTTTGTTGTAACAGGGCTTAGCCTTAGGGTATTTAGGTGACCAGTCTTTATCATGACTGGGAAGTCATGACACTAGCGCACGACGACGAAATCGCCACGCGCGCTTGCGACGTGCCAACCTTTCCCCCGCATCACGCCATCTTCTTTATGAAGTTATGCTTGGCTCGCAGTGCTCTTTCCGCACTAAGTTCTTTCCCCCTCCGCGACTCACATTATCTCTTATTTTGCTGTCCGTATCTTGAAATTCTCCTCCACAATTCAGAGCATAAAAGGTTTGCATTTTCTGTTTGCTGATATTTTTATGTGCTTTTCTCAGGGGGGGGGAGGGGGGGAACCGCAAGGGTGTCAGACTTCGATGCTCAAAGGAAACACGAGTATGAGATCGTGGGGGGAATTCGTTTTATTCGAACGTTGGCTCTCGCCACTTGCCCATGGCCCCATGCCTTCGTAAGCTCTTATACACTCTTGAGCCTAGGGAAGTGAGAGTGTACGTGAGAGAGATTCGCTAATTTCCCACGTTCTCGCTAACGAATCGTCTGAACCTTGCGATTCGCTGGCGATTCGCTGAATTCGCAGTCCGGCACCGGTCCCCCAACTATTTTCTTCCGTATCCATGGCGGAGGTTATGGCAGGGAAACCAGAGTGCCACTGTAAAGAGTAGGGCTCGGACATCATGTACTCCACCGAATCTTCTGACTCCACAGCAGCTTCATCTTCACGTTTCCATCAATTCTTGTTCACGAAATCATCTATGCTTTCAGTAAATGTTATTTTACACATAAAGATCTCGTGCTGGAATGGGAACCTGTATATGACTTATATTATGGAGCTGCATATGGAAAACTGGAGGACGTTGACGGGGGAAGAATTCGGACAGCAACTTTCAGACTGAAGCGATTCTACAGGCCGTCTGAGTCTCCAAAGATTTGGGAAAAGGTTTTCTCCTCCTCAAAGCGTTGAGCATCAAATCTTTTTCCAATTTGTTGTTAATAGAATTCATTAAGAATTGCATAAGCAAGAATTCCCTTAACCGCTGTGAAGCTTCCGAATTAGGGAATTCATTTCAGATCCAAGTCCTACTAGCTCCTCGATACTCGGCAAAGGAATTCTGCGAAATGGCGCTTTTGTTTCTCAATATTAGAATGTCCACAGAGGCATGCAGCAGATGTTCTTAAGGACTAAGGACCGTTAGTCGGATTTTATTCGTTTCAGGATCACAGGAAGTATGGCGCAGCCCTGTGGTTCCAAACAATGTGGAAGATGTATGAAGTTGTAGAAATGGGAAAGAAATGGGGTGATGACCTGCCAAACTTCTTCGCCACGTAAGTGATCAAATTTCATTTGTTAGCTGGTTAGTCCGCATGGTGGAGGTGATGAAACAGCAAGTGACCCGACGTCGAACATACTAGAGGTCTGGTCACTGGCTGCTAGTTACATTCAGATTCCCTGAACTTCACTTACCACAAGAAAACGAGTCATAGGTGAGGAGCTGAGAAGCTTCCGTCTGAACCCAAACGGCAGCTCCTCTTCTCGTCTGAAGGTCCTTTATGGGCCGCTTGCATCTCGGGCATCAGACCGATCCAATCAAGGACGAGCGGTCGCGTCGCTGAGAGGTCCCTCCAAGGACCGCATGCTCTCTCTTCTCAGATGGATGCATCCCCTAAAACGATTCCATCTTAAGAATAGAAGACAGGACTGAGTCGCAGGACCATTCGATAGAGCTCGCGACCTCTCGCTGAATATATAAATATCTCGCTGGATACAGTGCTCCAACTGCAGGCGGTTGGTCCAGCACCGACCTACCCACATGGTCACATCGCGAAATCCTGTCACCGCCTCTTTAGACTGAGGCAGGATAGCATAGAGGGTAGGAGACGCATTTCCTACGGGATGACCCCATGAATACATCGCCAATGATGGAGGCAGAGGAGCGCTTGCTGGAGTAAGGGCGCCATCTATAGAATAGTGGCCTTTCTACAGTGGCCGTACTGCCTACAGGAAATCGCATAACGGCCAATTTATAGACTCAGAACGGTAACTTCAAGCACCATTTAGAGCTAGGTGATGCTACAGGGAGCTACGTTCTACATAAGCAAACGACGGTCCATTCAAACTAGTCTCTGAATTTGAACTTTCAAGTCAAGCTAATAATATGAGACGTTTGTCATCAAAATTAGGCAATTCCGTTCAAGGGCTGGTGGCACGATGAATCGTGTTCGAAACAAGAAAAACAAGCCTACTGCAACAAAATCCTCTGCGCGCATGGAAACGAAACGTGGAGCTAGCGGCTTCGTATTCATTCCCGACGAAGAATCAGCTTGTCGTATGTGTCACGTATTTGATCTACTGCTGGATCCATTGCCATTTCCTCACGTTGGCTGTAGAAGTACTTTCATGGAGAGTACTCACGAAAATGAAAAGGCAATTTGAAGTCGATGACGGTTGCTGAACTTGATGTCCCGTATTCCCGCTTCCTTGAGGCCTTGAATGATGATCTAGCGCACCGTAATGTATGCGAGTGTATCAAAGAAACGTAAATGATCTTCAGTTTCGGGAGCCCTATATTCGAAAGAATGAGAGAAAAAACCGTGTTAATTAGAAGTCCAACAAAATTTCTAGATGTACTAAATTTCAAGGTTGATCTACCACAACCCGGATTTTATGGATTGGGGACCTCTTTACGACACCATATTCACACGCATCATTCGTGCAATGGGGCTTTGTGTCAGAGAAGGAAAAATAACAGTGAGTAATTGCGCGATTTTCGTTTTATTGGGTTGTCCAGAAAGTTTCCGCCGATTTTGACTCTCAAATTCAAAAGCGCATATCTCGGTTCAAACAAAGCGTCTTTGCTCGAAATAAAAACTATTACAATCCCATACCTTTGCCTACAAGAAATGAGTTTAACTGATCCGGATGTTGGAAGTGCTGGAGTTCTGTGAGCTAAGAACTCGGCGAAGGTCGTTTCACCACCATGTTGGGTTTCAATGCTCAATCTCTCTAGTAGACTTCCAGATGGTTGGAAAAGTGATAGTTGGTAGGCAATAGGTCTAGTGTGTGAAATGTTTGCAGCACAATTTCTAGCTCAGCTAGTTCAACTTGGAAGTCCGAGATGGGGTTGTGCAACAGTGGGTAGAAGAGCCGGCGGCACCCAATTTCGACTTCTTTGGGCTTTTTACCCTCACCGCTTTGGAAATCTTATGTCGGTTACCCAATTCAAAGCAGCCTGTTCAACAGTTTCATGCAGATTGGTTTGGTCAAAACCCTCAGCTGATCTTTATCAGTCTCCGATATCACTAATCTCCTTCAAAGCTTTCAACATCGCGAGAAAGACATTTTGAATTACGACTGCACAGCGTATTTTTTGTGGACTCTGAACCAAATGCTCAGTTGATATCGCAACTTGCTTCCGCACATTTCCGAGCAAGTTTGAGGGGAAACAAGAAACTAGTGCAAAGCAGGCTGAGTATGTTGTATTCAAGACTTCAAAAAAGTGGAAAGGTGATTCAGCGTTGAAAAAAAAAGCAGTAGAGCGGAAGCGAGATATTGGATAGAGCGAGGAAACGCTTTCTAACGATATATAAAGTGTTAGCAGCTTCTTGAAAGTGACCCAGAAATAAAGCATTCAAAAGTGAGCTACAAAAACGGCGGAAATTTCTAGACAGCACATTTTTCATCACGCATCTAGAATGCGTTCGGGTGTCATGATCATAATGTCTGTTCAATATCACCAAGAATATGTACAACTTTGTCTTAAGGTCGGTGACGGCTCAGGTTCCTCCAGTCTCGATGGCTTTGCTCGATTCGTGTCCTCTACTATCGGTGGGCCATGCAGGTATGTACTAGATAGGGTTCAATAGGTTGTACTAGGTAGGTGCGATGACAGAAGGGCTTAGTGATCGCTGAACGTAATTTGTAGAAGGGCGTTGAGAGCTGGTCCCGTTTACATGACGCAGCGTCCTTTCGCATTACTGGCCAACGACAACTTCAACCGCTCCACTTTCAACCACCCACTGTCGTTCACAGATTAACACAAGATGTTATTCCAGAGTGATTACTTGTGGATACATGAGGATTACAAGACTAAGGCTCACTCTCTCTACTCCATCACTCTCAAATATTAATTAAAACTAAATACAATATTTAAATGAGAGATCATATTTGAGAGTGACCTTGGCAAAAATTCTATCTGGGGGAGCACTTCACCGCGTTCTCCAATACATAAGATACGAATGAGAGCATGCACGACACGTAATCAGCTCATTTATTTCTGATAAAAGATGTAGTGTGAAACTCACCTCGAAAAGTATCCACAGTTGGACCTGCAATGGTCCAAGGAAACGGTTCTGAAAAGGGGGAGCGAATCTTTGCGTCGGCGTAAGGGTGGAGGAGCTCCAGGTGGACCGTGGTGCAGAAAATTGGATGGGATGTGGGCAGGAAGTGTGGAATGTAGGACATCCACCGGTCCTTATCAAGAAATGTTCTTCAAATGATTCGTTCATTATCTTATTCCTAGTGTTAGAGAGCCCAAAGGAGTTATCGTCTGAGTTAGAGAGCTCTGAGAAGTGCGTAGCCCCCTCGAAGTTGATTTTCACCGTGACCTTTCAATTGATTGAAGTACGGAAGATTATCAACTCTTGCTGACGACGATGTGGAGCCCCACGTGCCCATGTGACCATTGCCTATGAACTGCACTTCACCTTCATCAAACAACAAGTAACATCACAGCAAATAATACCCAATTCAGAACTAGCCAACCTTCAACACACAACAAGATTTAGTCACAGTACCACGGTCAATTAGCTTTTGAGCACAATATCTACTTCGCTGGTTATATCATGAGAGTCTTCAATAAATACTCGAATTATGTGCTGTTGCAGCTGTCAAAAACAACTTGAGAAAATGATGAGGACAATAGAACCATTTTTGCATCCAGCAAATGAAGGAGATCACACGGCTCTCGTGCTCAGCTTCCTTCAGTACCTCATTCGGGAGTTCCTTGGTCGGTACGAAGACGAGAGAATAAAGAAGATTAAGAGAAAAGTCGGTTTTTCTGAGATTCATCCGAAGGAAAGCATGCACTTTACATCAACAACTTTAGGTTCCTCTGAAATACTATCTTAAAGATACAGACGTTAGACTATTTGTGGACACACTACTCCAGTCGATTCTTTACTCACTCTATTCAAAAGATGGGAAAAGTTATGACGTAAGGACTAGTGACCCACGAAAAGCTCGGAACATGCGCTTAAAGTATTCATTTCAGCTACCTGCAAAACTTCTTATGATGCTTGGGACCCTGGAGCCTGGACACGTGTTCCCCCGTTTCTTAGACAAGTGAGTTAAGGGCGGTGAACATCATAGCTGACGGGAAGGTGGTGCTGGTAGCCGTTATGCGACCTATCAAGCGCTCACAGGGAAGGGCTTAAAAGCTGTTTTCAACCAGAACCCTCGGCGCGGTGTAAGGGCTGCTCCACTGATGGAGTCGAACGACGTCATTAGCGCCGCCCTTCCCTTCGTCCATCGTTTTGACTGTCTGTAAAAGAATTAGTGTTGAACAAGCATAGAAGCAACCATTTTCAGCGTCTATCCAGCTGTGTTCGCTGTGTGTGAACCACATCGTTTGACGCAAACCCTTGACTGCATGTTTCGAACTGGTGTTCATCATCGCCAGCGACGAGAAACAGGGAATCGAACGGCGAAAGATGGAGAAGGACTGGGTAGCAGAAATGGAAAAGGTACTTTAACTTGTTCTATGGTAGTCTTCGAGCTTAGTCGCAGTTAGTGCCGCAGTGAGTGAGAATTCTTGAAGATGACGGTGCAATCAAGCTAACATCGTTTCGTTAGACACTTAGCAAGATGCCTGCATATCTTTCTTCCGTGTAGACCCGTGTCCGTGTAGGAACCTTGACTCAGCCACACACAGGATATCAGCGCAAAACTGAGTGACAACTTGAATAAAAGCTCCTTTCAACCCAGTCGTGCTCCAAGAGTCCTCTTTTTGCACCTGAGACACAGTTTGCTGCAATCTAGTGAGTTGTTACTTGGCTGCAGAAATGAAAAGAGAGGTGTCAAGAGTGTTAATATGAGGGTGAATAACCAGTCAAGAAGCGTCAGAAAACGCTGAAATGAGGGACTTCTTCGTGCGATACTGCGACCATGTGAATCACGGAGGAGACGCCACCGTCGGCAGGAGAGGTCTAACCGTGACAAGTGTAGACGCCCTTAAATATAGAAGATGACGAGCGACATCTAAAGCTGACCAATGTATGCACGTCAAACCCGGTCAAAGGAAGCATTAAGCGTCTTGGAGGCACTGATTCTAACGCATAAGTCGCGAAAGTGTCTAGAGCCTACTACTTCACTCGTGAGGGATATTTCTCTGAAAATCTGATCGCAACACTGCTTCCATTTTTTGAACAAGAGCAGCCTATGGAGAATATGCGGTTTTTTCGACCGATACCTGTCGAAAAGAAAGCCCACATAGGAGTGGTGGATGAGCATTCCTGTCACAAGCAATGCAATTGCATCCAAAATTGATGTCTAGTATTCTTTTGATGTTCTTGATGCTATCCGATGCTACGTGCGTCAAGAAAATTGCGCCTACATGTCCCGCCCAGGAGAGGTCGTGAGAAAATGAGCATGTCGAACTATGGAGTTGCTCGTCGCGAATCCCAATCAGCCGCGCCAGTTAGCCACACCTCGAGCACAACAACACACAAATCACATCGTACATGAATCTATAACTATTGATTTCTCTGGATGCTGCTATAGCTAGCAATTACAGATGTGGGATCAGTGATGGTAAAAGCTGTTGAAGTCAAGAGACCCTACAATTACTTAATCTTTCATCGCCATTCCCAGCACTTTTGTGCCTTCTCTTGCGTGACTCCGTGAAGTTTCAGTGCCGTTCACCGGACTCTCCAATTGCGCGATATTCATTACAAAAGTTATCTGCTGAGAGCAAGTGGGACCTGAAGAGCAACTTCACGACGTTCCGATTCCACCTTTTCTATTTTCTTGAAATTCTCATAGCAGGAATTGATATCAATGACGTATCAAAGGCTAACATCTCAATTCATGTGAGTGATCATGCTGATGTGCTTTTCTCGCGCGCTTCCCAAAAAATAGCTTCCAGAACCTGACCTTAATATTTTATATAATGCCCATACTCGATTACTCGGAATGCGTTAAGCACCACAAGGATCTCACACCCGACGAGAAGTCGCTTTGTTTGCTATCGGCCAGATTGCCGGTGTTGGCCGAGATGGCTTTGGATCGGTACGCTGATTTCAAAGGATTGAATTTGTTCACTGAACCTTTATTGATATTCAGAATGCTGGGAGTAATCCAGTGTCTTGCCGTCACGGCTCCCAAAGACTCCTCGTCTGCACTGGGAAATTTCAAGGTAACTTGGGCGGACTCGGATAGTGTATCATAACAACTACTCACAGTGAAATGAGATACTTCAGGACGAGTCGACAAAAGAGAGTGAGGAGGAAAGAGTGTTGAAAAAAGGAATCGATAGATGTGTAACTGCGTTGTTCACAAATACCAAATATGCAATCACAGAGGTAAACTGTTTCCTTCTAATACATGAAGCACTCATTTGCCGCGTCCGAATCGCTGTTTCTGGCAGTCTGCCTGTGTCCTGACCAGAGTCAACCATCATGTTCGCACCTTTTCAAAAAGTTTTGCCA